ACCACTTGAGCATGTGAAGTATTGCTGTAAACCATCTGGTCTTGTATTCTATAGAGCAGAAAATAAATGATGAAGATATTGCGATCCTAGCACTGCGCAGGATGTATCTCACGTATGAACGTAAAGAACAATTTGGTTTATTATGGATTTTTTTATAGCCTCAATACTACAGCGTTGAGTGGGGGGGTGGGGGGAGGGGAAGGGCGTATTACACAGAACACAAGTCCATTCGAATAATAATTTCATCACCTCATATAAGCAATTTAGAAAACGATCCTTGCAGTCGTGCAAACAAAGGTTTATAACATTGCCAGAAATTTGGGACAATATGGCGGAGGCAGTTCTCGTGTTACAAGCAAAATGGCGCCGAAACAGTATGAGAAAATGTATGGGAAAAGTTTTTTTTATTTTTAAATAGCTGTCTAAAAATGGGATATTCCTTCGCTGCGTACTTGGAAATGCAGCCTGCATCGGTTAAAGCGTCCATCGCTACGAAAAAGAAATACTCGAATTCAAGCCTACCTTTTTCCAAGGTATACGAGTAAACTCATAATTCTGACTCCATTTTCCCATACATATATCTTATTAAGCAAGCGCGAGGGCCGTACTGGGAGAATATCGGCCCGAGGTCTTGACAGTACGGACCTCGCTGCGCTCGGTCCGTACAAAAAATACCGAGAGCCGATATTCTTCCAGTACGGTCCCGAGCAAGCTTGGTTAATAACAGATTTATTACACGACTGAAGTTCAAAGGGACACAAGTGCGGTATCATTCGGGACCACTCGGGACAGTGCCCGGTCCAATACCGAGAGAATATTGACCGGCAATAGAGCATTTTGATCGGTTGATTTTACTTATTGGCCCCCTGACTTCCCGAGTTGTGTAATAAAAACTTTTAAAATCTGCTTCAAATAGGTCTTATATTTCTTTAGTCGTGGGGACAAACTTGTGAAGATTCGCAACTGCGTAGTTCGATATGCATTCTGCAGAAGTTTGCTCAACTGTAAATCGCTCGTAAACGTTCGAATATGTTGGCCCCACAAATTTTCCTCGAGCCGGGAAACTCTTCGTATTTTCACCGAGCTCAAAAGCCAAATACGCCATTTTTAAATACCCTAATTTTAGGAAGGAAGAACACGAANGGTAAATCTATCAGATAAAGTAATAATATTATTACAGTCTATTATTACAATTACATTCTACTTTAATCTATATAAACATGATCTAAAATTTAAAAGTGAAATAGAAAAAATAAAGAAATTCTGCTTTACATAGATGAGGTGTGCGTTTTGTCGATTCAGTCGAAGAAATCGCGACAACCATTTCGAAAAGGTTGAAGCGACTTGCTTGCCGCAATTCAGGGGACAAGCTGTTCCAGATAACCGCACCGTTATAACTAAAGCTATTTTGCAGGAAATTGGTGCGGGGCAATTGAACAGCTAGTTTGTTTTCAGAGTTCCTTAGATTATAAGGAGGATCATATTTAGTGAAAACAGAACCAAGATAGTCGGGCGCAAGACCATGTATAGATTTATAGACCGTGGTGGCCCCTTGTATTTTTCGCTGAGTATCTAACCGTCTCCAGTTAGGTTGCTCAAAAAGAGGATCAGCGAAAGAATGGAGCGAAAATATTATGCCTGAAAGATTCCGGGACATATGAAACTGGGAAAGGTTGGAAAAACTTGCGGTAAAAGACTTGCAGTGTTGCGACATAGACCTAGAGTAAATAATACTCGAAATGTCTTTAAATTTCAAATTTACGAAACTAATTTCTTTGTCTGTCATTCACCCGCTTCAACCAGCTTGCATTTCGATCAGTTTCAACTAAGAATTCCCTGAGCCATTTTTCAGATCTGAGTGTTGCAACTGGCGTTTTCGAACCTCCTAGGCTATGAATTATTTTTCCTTACACTTTCTAACCTTTATCCTAGCGCTGTAAAAAGGATATTTGAACAGTGCCAGCGTTTTCAGTTCGTAGGCCCAAGCAAGTTGTTACTTTTTCTCACCTATTTCCGTATTACCAATCACAAGTTTAGCTTGCGGATATTTCGCTTTAAGTTCCAATAATTCTTCCAAAGTTGTTGGTCTGATCCAAGTAACAAGGTCTCCTCTAATGTGTAAAAGTCTTGGCTTGTTAGCGTCTGGAAGCTTATAAAATAAAAAAACAACAAAGATACGGTAGAATGACACATTGTTTGCGGAAGGAAAACTATAGACTGTTTGGCTTTTCGAGCGCTTCAATTAGAAAAAGATAATGATAATTAAAGAAAATACCATCTCAAGCTTACAACTAGCCTGAAAAAAGGCTTCACTGTTAGAGTTTTTAAGGGAGTTGTGGCAAACGCGAGGAAGACTCAAAACGCGAATCACGCGCGAATGGAGGAGTTTATACTCGCGTGTGTTTTGTGCGCGTTCGCCTGAACCACGCAATGAAATCAAATTGTGCCCGCTCTTCAGGTTAGCTTACCATCAGCTCTGGCGGAAAGATTGCGTCCTGCGTTGGGTCATATGGTGTAAACTCCCCAGGTTTAAAAAGTCCACTGCTAGACTCCTGAGATGTAATATGAGGGCACAGAGTTAATTCGCCTGCAAGAATCATCTCTAGATAAACTCCAATGGTTGTTTCTCGGGAACCCGAAAAAATTGGCAGTGAATCGTTTTATCGACAAATCTATTGGAAACCTTTTCAATGGAGTGTCGTAAAACCAAACTTAGAGTAAATAACAACGGCTGATTAGAAAAAAGTTAAATATTTTAAAGAGCCCATCGACGCAAATTCAAAGCAAAACAAATAAATGCATGGAGCGCGGGAAAATGCGGTTGGCCGAATCGCGCTCGGTTTTAGCTTAGTATTTGATTGGTTGAGAGAATAAGCGCGGGAAAACGCGGTTGGCCAACTCGCGCTTGGTTTTAGCGTACCATTTGATTGGTTGTGGGAGTGGGTCAAGTTTTCTGGGCCAATCACTGAGCGAAGTAAAGCAAACACAATCCTGAATACATTTAAACACTTAATTGAATTTTGCTCCATTCTTCCTCTCTATCTCTAAGAACATGTCGTTTTTGTTATATTGGTAAAGAAGAGGTTTTGAATAAGACATTCGCGATTCGCGATGTTCATTTGGAGGATAAAATGTTGCGTTTCCTTTCCTTCGATTTTAATTCCGTAAATTTAATACCTTGGGGCGGCAGGAAACAACACAATTTAAACGGAACTTACATTATCAACCTTTTCTTCCGTTTGATCAATGCTGATCACATTTGAAGTAATGTCAAGGCAACATCCGTTTCTACCTTTGCCGCAACATTCCTGCAACAGAAAAGATCTAGATCAGTGAAGGTTCAGGTTTCTATATGAACTGAGTTTCTGTTCGCCAATGATTGATAATGTATGGACCCGGACCATCTGGACAGGAATGGATCAAAAAAATTATTTAGTCGTAGCACACAAGTTCCCTGGCGCTAATAAACTGTCGTGAAAATTTGATGGCGATACCAATAACCAGGGAGAAATGTTCAACTAAAGTAAAGTATTGACTCCTTTACTTTACTGCCAGTCAACAAGAAGTATGATCTTTCGCAGACAAGTGATAAAAATACAGAAAAACATAAATAACGGGGGTATTGTTAAGCCTGGTTCACATATGTTCGCAGACGATAGCAGGCGATCGCACTCGATCGCCAGCGATCGTCTGCGATTATAGGTGTGAACTGCTCTGCGATCGCGTGCAATCGAGTGCGATCACGATCGCAGGAATAGAACCATGTTCTATTCGCGCGATCGGTTGCGATCGCCTGCGATCGTCTGCGATCGAGTGCGATCATATGTGAACAAAGTTTTGCGATCATGCGATTGGAATATGTCCCATAACGCTATGCAAGCTGCATGATACCAAGACAACCAGTTGTTTATCAACTTTTACACGTGCGTGTTTTGACAAGATGGAATGTGAAATTGACACAGAGCAGTTTATGGAAGAAATTAGAAAATACGATTGTTTGTTCAATCGCTTTAGCAAAGAATTCTCTCTGTCTTAAGACTTTCCGCACCAAGAAGCACCGTTTCTTCTTTGATCTGTCAGCGATTCTCCGTTTAAGCAAAGACAACAGAAGCAGAATGTTAACACCTAATAAAAGTTCAGTGTCCTCTTCGTCGATGTTGGTTGACTGGAGTTACATTGTATAGTAATAGTAATAGTAATAGCAATCAAAGTTTAATGTCTTTACGTGGGGCATGGTTACCCATATTGCCCGAGCCAGAGGCTCATGTATGAAACGCAAGACAACAACCGACCCATCCCACCCCAGGGGAGGACATCCATCACACAGTAATCTCGTGCGTGGAAAAAAAAACGTCTCCTACCCCTAACCCTGCAGGAGACGGGACCTCCATTTATTCGTCCCTATCCGAGAAGACTAGAATATCTAAACCATTTCTTGATATTATAGAAAGGCAGCATATTCCAGTTCTCAATTATTTTAAGACCTTGAGTGTTGGTCCGGCCGGGGCTCGTACCCTCGACCTCCTCCACATCAGTCCAGCGCTCTATCCATTGAGCTAACCGGGAGGCTGAAGGGTAAATCGTGGACTCGGTTGTCATAGATCGCTGCGATCGGCTGCGATCGGCTGCGATCGGCTGCGATCGGCTGCGATCGGCTGCGATCGGCTGCGATCGGCTGCGATCATAGGTGAACATGCGATTCGCGATCTTCGGTTGAGTGGTTTCAGCGATCGTGCGATCGCCTGCGATTATATGTGAACCAGGCTTTAGATTTAACACCAAATTCTCAGAATTGACAAATGATTGTATGGCAAACAGTGAGGAGAATTCTTTTCGAGATCTTAAGAGTGAAACGGGCTGACCAGCGCTGACCTTTGTGAACGTTTTAAAACCCTCCAAAATTGGTCTGTAGCCAGTGCAACGACATAAGTTACCTGCAGATACAAATTTGAGTAAGAATAATAGCAACTTTGTTTCAATCAGAATTAAAGTTTTCCCTCATAGTGTAAATATGTGACACATCTCCCTGGAAAACCTCTCACAAGAGCGGTGCAGAATGCAAAGATAGCTTGAGAGGATAATTTTCTTTTCTTGGACTCACCTCACAGACATCCGATTAAAAACAATCTAATGAAGCCGTTTGGATGGTGTGTAGTGAGAACAGAGAGTAAATTGTCACAACAACCAATTAGGACAACGCAGATATTGCAAGGATCCCACAAGAATTCAATGAGACACGACGCGAAAAAAGGCGAATAACCAATCCACGATTGGGGCTGGACTTTTGCCGCAGCTGATTGGTTGAGGGGGCTGTGCTATTTTTCCAAGCTAATCTCAGAGCCAGAAAGTTAATCTAATGCAACCCGGGATTATTTTTATTGTTCTATGCGCTGCTTGACTTCGACTTGTCTCCTATGTGAGATCTATCCACCCACTAAAGCCGGGCTGGAAAAACAAAATGCGCAAACTAATCTCAAAAGGTCATTTTTCCTTTTTCGATTTATTCTGTCTGATTTTCAAAACCAGCCTATAACTTATTCCTTCGTGCCTTTCGCTCGCCCAAGAGACTCCAAATTCTGCGTGATGAACAATACAGAATACTAAAGCTTTTACCTTCAAATGCACTCTCCATTTCTTTACACGATGGCAAAGGGTTGTTCCTCAATAGTGTGTACATGGACATAACAATCCCTGGAGTACAAAATCCACACTGCGATCCATGAGAATTTGCGATCCGTTCCTAGGGTAAAAAAAGAAAGCAAACAATTCCAAACTTGAAAGTTCTAAATTTCAGTTGCACCAAGTCAAACTATGAGAGAACTCAGCTGTGGTGTTCGCGAGAAAGTACATGGAAATCCAGAATTCGATTGAACAATCTGAAGGAAATTAAATTTCTTTTTTTTTTGGCCCATCCAAATTATGGTTGTTGTTGAGCATGTTCAGATCTCATCAGAATTTGACAAAATCTATTTCAAATCTTTCAATTGTTAACAAAGAGACCTGCCGAACTGGCTACGCCAGCTACACCTGTCTTTACCTGTACAGGATGCAAGACAGTTTTGGTGCTTCCGATACCTTCCACTGTGGTTACAGCCATTCCATCAACTGCACACAATGGCATCAAACAGCCATTTGCAGAGGAATGTATTTTTAATGTTAAAGTTTGACTATCTAAAAAACAATTTATCTACCTAGTAGTTCTACAGCGCTGAAATAGTATTTTTTTTAATTTGGTGGTAAGGGTTGGTCAGCGGAGAGGACTATGTTTCCAGCATAGGAATCGAGGGCTAAGGAGCGCTAGGATCTCCAAGGATTGGCATTCAAAATTTCCGGTAATATAAATTCTTACACATCCTTGCTGCCAGAAATAACGTCTTTTAAATAGTGCACAGTGAAGATTTCCCCATAAGTGCAATTTATAATTTAAGAAAAAATATATTTGTAAGAATGGTGGTAGAAATACCCCATCAAAAAAATAAATGAATTTCTTTTCAAACCTCAAGTTACATTTTCTCGGCTGAAATGACAACCTACTGAGTGAAACTTTGCACGACCACCAAATCCCGGGTTGGTCTTTGGAGTCTTTGGATGCTAGTGAGCAATTAGTTCCATGTGTTGTTGTTGTTGTCAAGTTAGAGAAGTATTCTTAAGAGGGGAAATAGGATGTTGAAACTGTAACATTTCTGATGAATCCCCCAATATAACAAACAAACAGTCATCTTTCATTAGTTTCAAACTCTTGTTATTTCATAAAGGATACTTGATCTTTTTCATTTCATGGTCGTATCTAGAGATCATGACTGTACAAGCACCGCAGCCACCCTCGCTGCATCCAAGTTTAGTTCCTTTTAAACCCACTGATGAGATGTTAAGGCCAATGGGAGTTCTTGTCATATACCTGCAATTTAACTCGTTTTAAAGACGTGATAAACCCGTAAGATGATAAATCAAACACAACGAATATATGAAATTCATATATCTGAACTCCGGCTATAGAAACGTATTTGTGCATGATCCTTGCAGTAAAGAGCACTATTTCTGATTTTCACTATTGCTTAAATCGTGCTCTTTACTGCGAGGATCGTAGACAAATACGTTTCTATAACCGCATTTCAGATATATGAATCTCTCTGAAGTTTGAATGGTAAGAATCATGAATATTAATAAACGTCACGGCGAGTGACGAAACAAGGAAGAATTGTATAACGCAACAAACGTTTCGCAATCAAAGGATACAATGATTTCGAAGATACTGCAACAACGACATTTCTGGCTGTGCGTTTTGCTCCACAACCTTAAAAAGAGAAGAAGACATATTTTGATGTCGCAAACAGCATAACAACACACAGCACCCCATAATTTAAGTCGATCAGTAGACATAACGGCCAGTGAACTCATAATATTTACATGTTTCAAGTGGATTGAACGACCTAGTTGATTTGCATGCTAAAAAATGACGGATTCGATCGGACAAAGCTGATTTGAAGATACCTGCACTAAAAATTCTCCGGTGAAGGTTTCTTCGGGAAGGCAGACAGGGGTTGGGCAGTTTAATTTTCTGTCCTGGAAAACAACACAGTCACAGCCCGACGTACACAGTCCGAGTCCAGATATCATCATCATGAGCAGAAAGTAAAATGATATTTTTAGAGAGTTCAACTAGGGATCCCACAATAACACGTAAAAAAAAGTCGATTATGACCGATTTTGCATCATACGATTTCTGTTCCAGAAAAGCACGTGATATATCAAGAAGGGTTCAGCTGCATTGTTTCTCGTTGTCGTAACAGAAAATGAGCGAGAGATTTTGTCCATGGACTAAGGAAGTGGATCAAGGAGTTCAGAACCAGAATGTCAGTGGAATAAGTTGCAGTAATGACAAAGGAGAAACAGGATGCACGATCCTCGCAGTAGATAGCGCTATTATTGCAGTTCAAAATAAATGAACTTCATATATTCATTGTATCTCATGATTTACCTTTATTAGATAATTCCATGACTGTCAGATTTGCATTCTTTATAACGAAGCGCGAATTGGTGTAAACATGATCATTAATCAATCTCCTCCCTCTCCATCGTAGGTCGACTCGGTTTTAAACACGAACGAAGAAATGGACAGCCTCAGCATTCTTGAAATCATTCGTTTTTCAACAACAGCCAATTGAGTTTACTAATAATCTGCATCTAATTATTCGTCATGATGTACAAATGACAGTAAAAACTTTCCAAACCTTTTTTCCGTTGACGAAGAAAACGATTGCTTGATTAAAAGAACTTGGCATCCTTGCTAATCTATAGCTTTGTTGAGCTTAAGGGTATTTAATCCACAAACGAAATGATCCCATCGTTAACTGGAGCACAATTTCAAGCGGTGATATTGAGCAACATAACCAAACAAGTTAATCCACACTACAGAGTAAACGATGCTGATCAAATTTCTGGTTATGCTCTCGCACTGGGCGTGGGAACAATAGATCCGTTACGCTTGACAAACCGGAATGATCTGTTTTGTGCGGATAATGATTTCATAGCCTGATAGATCGAGATTCTCGAGAGCTAAATTGATGAGATTGTGAGGGATAATCTCTTCTGTAAATACGGCAACTGAAGTGGTCAATACTGAATAGCTAAATATTATTTTACAAGAACAACGGGACAGAAGAAAAAGAGGAAAACAAGGAACATAAGAGCGCGGTCCTGGGTAAACAAAATATTGTAATATCTAATGGATTATGTCTTACAGAATAACCAAAACTGATAAGTGAAGTACGAGCACATTTTGTAGTCGTTGATCTAGGTACAGGTATAGTGTAGTTAACTAATTGGAACCGAAGTGAGAACCAAACCAAAAGACGTGATATTACTTTAATAGTCCTCAGTGGTCATGGCAACACTGTTTAGAACAAACCGCAATAGATGCTCCACTCTGTCAAAGGTCAAGGCCGTCAATAGGCGGGTCTCAATCGGCGATAAAAATTGTGGGTGGGGATGGGGTGGGGATGAGGGTGGCGATGGGAGGGGGTTTATTAGAGAGAGGTCTGCAAGGGGGGCAAAGCTCATTAGAAATTCTTATGAATACATTGAATAGTTAACAATCTCTGGGTGGAAAACTACAATATTCAACAAAAGGAACAAACAAGGGTTTTAAAGTACTTGTATTTAACACTCTGAAGTGCTACCTGGCCCAAATGGAAAATAATACCCAAAGAAGGGTGTAATTTTACCTCATCTTTCTGGGAAATTTAAAACAGTCTTTACACCACACACTCCACCCATTACTTCTGTCATGATTCTGTCATAATATATGAGAAGACAAATGTGCCAAAAAAAAAAAATGTGAAGAGTCCCACTAGTTCAGGTGCTCAAATAATTGAGTTGATTCTATTTAACAAATGGTAAACACCACAGCGTACACTATTGAGTTATGGATGCATGNCCCGGAACTATACGTAAAATATTGCTTATATCCAAAGGTATATATTACAGGTATATAAACGCGAAAAGGTGTCGAGTAACTAATGATCTGTCAATTTTAACTGTAGACGGCTGGTCTTGATGGCAGCTGCTTTGATAGCTCCCAATGTGTGGTTAAAAATTATTTAAGGTAGTGCATAGACCACTTTCATAAATGGCTGCCGGATTAATATTCTTTTGTTTAAAATTAAATTAGCCCTTCTGGCCTCGTTCTCCAGTACAAAATTCAAAAGAATACAATATCTCAAGCGAGGCCAGAAGGGCTAACTTAAATTTAAACAGAAGAATATTAATCCGGCAGCCATTTATGAAAGTGGTCTTTTAATTTGAGATAGTTCGGAGCTTTTTACAATTGAACTATTAAATTAATTGGAAATATTGCATTTGTTTAATCTTCTGCAATGGTACCGGCTGGAAAAGCGTGGTGGCCTAGTGGTCATGGCGTCCTAGACATCCTACAGGTGTGTAAATGGGTGGTGGCGAATTTAAAACGGGGAGTAACCATGTGTTGGACTAGCATCCCATCCAGGGGGAAGGGAGAGTACAAATATTTCGTCACTTAGGCTGTATGGGCTATTGGCCTGATGCAGACTTTTTTTTAATTCTAATGACGTGCATCTCCATGAAAAGTGCCGGCGCCGGTATGTGTTTTCTTTTTTTTGGGGGACCCTCAGAGAAAAATTTCGTATTGAATTATTCAATTAAGTTGTAAATTTACCATTAATTTTTAATCATCAATATTCTTATTTATTAATTAATTTACTTTTATTTTTTTTTAATTTATTATTTTTCGACCATTCCGAGAATTCTGGGTATTTTGAGTATTCCGGTTCCGGATTCCGGATTCCAGTATTCTATATTTTCCGACCTGTACCTACCGCGAATAGTCCATTTTACAGTTCTGTGCTTGGTTGCCAAGCCTTTGAACGGGAGTGAGGCTAGAGATGACCTTGTTATGATGAAAACCTTGCTACCTTTCAAATGTAAATCACTTTGTTATCATGCTAACTAGATACAGGTCTCTATCACAACAAGGTCATCTTTAGCCTCACTCTGAATCAAAGGCTTGGAAACTAAGTACACAACTGTAAAATGGCGTATTGACCAGTGTTGATCAAAGGTGTCGGTGAGTTGACTAATGTGACTAATGATGTCGGTGAATTGGTTGTTGGCGAAGCGATCGGGCACCTACATATGAACAAAGCAAATCGTCTAATTCGCAATCGGCCCAACTAGCCTCGCCAGTGCAATAAAACCTCAACTCAAAGATGAGCGTAGTTAGGCTAATTTACTTGTGTAAAAAAGAATACCAATCAGGCATGCCATTCATACAAACTGCATGTCTATTGTGAGATAGACAGTCATGAATCAACTGAGAGGGAAGGCGAAGACAGAATAACAACGCTGTTCTGCATTGAACTATCAGTTTAACCGACACTCACGGATAGGATCTCAGTGAACTGAGCTTTAGAACACTTGCATTTCGTAAAATCAAAACGAAAGTAACTACAACGGCCAATCGAGGAAAGGAAAACACCAATGAAAACTCAAAACAAGCAAAACGTTTGAAGCACGGGAAAACGCAGGCGACAAACTCATGATTGGTTTTAGTTTGAATCCGATTGGTTGAGAGATTGGCACGAGTTTGCTGGACCAATCACAGAGTAGAATAAAGCAAAAAATCTAATGTAATCCCGGGTTACTTTCGACACCTGAAAATTGCTCTGATTTTATTAGTATTGCTGCATGGTGAGAGTCCTCCTTTCGAACTTCAGAATTATTTAACCTTTTCACTCCATGATCTCATTACTTATTCTCCATACTGTCTGCTATACAGTTCTTATAATGTTAACTTGGAGATCTTTAACTTAGATCAATGTAAAATCCTCTAATTTATATTTTTCTTTTTTCTCATCACATGTCCGCTTGATATTGTATTGATATTCTAAGGAGACATTCTGTCTTGGTCACCCATGCGAGTTAAGGTTAAAACTCCTGTACTATTTCAGGCATGCGCGCATGAAGAGTTTGAAAGGTGAAATCAACTACGGTAACTATCGGTCCTTTAGATAATACTTTCAACATTATTCAATCTAGTGACAGTAAATATTAGCATGATATCAGTTAAACCTCTCACCACGCTATCATGCAGATTTTCTGCCTATCTTTTGAACAATTAACAGCTGAAAGCTCGTTAAACGTAAGTGTAACATTGTAAAGAAAACTATTGCGATTAAAATTCGCGAATTTATTACGGCGCTTTTCAGTCAATAATACGCAAACTCTGAAGTTGAATTTCCATCCGCTGTTTCTCCCTACTTGTGAGAAGATCCTCTGACAGGTAAGTTTGCCTTTCCTCGCTATATTTTTGCAAAATAACTGATGTTGTAACGAGAATTTCCGTGTCAATCACCCTTTAGAATCAAAGGGTTGAGATAAATTTAAGCAACTGAATCGAGAGAAATCTACCAGTCATAGAAAGGAACATGATATTCTTAATTCCTCCGAAATGTCGCTCCTTATTGGTGGCAGTGTAAAACGCATTTTGTGCGAGGTGCCTTTCAACTCCACAGTTTACGTATGTTATTAACTTAGAAACTCCATAAATAACTATGATATTTCACACAAAATAAAATATTTCTGAGATATCAACACGCCATGACTCGTAGCGAGTTTCAAATTAGTCCAATTCAAAAGCCCCAGGACTGATTAAGCTGAATTTCTAGCAAATCAACCGGCAAGTTTGTTGGTTTGAAAGCGATAATAATGGTCAACTTGACGGGGAAATCAGATGCAGAATGCAACACACTTTAACGAAAGGCACCAAGGACTCTCGACCTGTCTTTTTCAGTCTTCGTTATCTCTCGATTCTTTAAAATGAAATTATTCTTACTCCAAGTATACCTAATTACCGAGTTAAAATTTCTCTCTATATCGTTCAGTTTTTCTCGATTTTAATGTTGTGTTCAACGCTATAACATTTAGTGTAAGTTTTTTCGAAAGCCTTCGTGAAGGATTTTGGTTTGAAGTTTTGGATTTTACACGCTTAGTGATCGTTCGCGTTAGCAATCGGATTCTCCACTATTTTTGATACTCTTTCTCTTCTTGGTAAACTCCAAATTAAATTACTTGCTTATATATTCATGATCACTATCGGAAGGCAAGAGTGGAAATGATGCCCAACTGACCTTGGATGATTATAATTATGTTGCTGGAACACTAACCCAAACACTTTTATAAGAATCTCGCTAATGAAGAACATGCACTTAACGCTTCCGATCAACCGAATCAATCTTTGACTGCGCAGGCCAAAACAAGAACTTTCGTGTGGGTCCAACTGAGCAAGATCAGTGGACGCCACTTCCAACTCCATAAATGGAAGTTGAGCAATACAGTCTTCATTTGGAAACTCGTCGCGGAAGGTTAAACCTAAATATCTTCGCACTTTGAATTTAAATAATAACTAAATTAAATGCAAAATATAAACAAATGTCTAAATCGTAACTAACTAAATCAGTGCAGACGAACCCCGATAACTCGAACCTTCAAGGGAATTTTAAAAAGATTCCACTTATCGGGAGCTCAAGTTACCTGGAGTTGAAACAAAGGACCATAAATAAGGGAAAACAGCGTTTAGAGTTTTTTATATTTATAAAATATGCACTTTTAATCAAATTTAATTGTAGAGAAGCCGAGTGAAAATAGAACGATAAATTACTGCAGAAATCGCAACGTAACGTGAACGTTTTTGACTGCAGTACACTGTTTGTTTTGATTTGTCGTGGTTCGAGTAATTAGGGGGAGAGAAGAACAGTAAATAGAGAATGTCCCGTGCCAGAGAAATGAAAATTGTCGCGGGTTAGCGGAAGGTTCGAGTTATCGAGAGAAAAATTTCAGTGAATAAATGACGGAAATTCAAGGCCGAAATCGATGTTGGTTCGAGTTAGCGCGACGTTCGAATCAGCGAGCGTTCGAGTTATCGGGACTCGACTGTACTTCATAAAAATAGATAAGTAACCGCCGATAGCAAGGCCCTTAGAGCTCTTGCTCTTTTCTAACTTAAAAGTTTAGGGATCCGTAAAAAGCTACATTACGTTTCCTGCACCTTAAACTAAACTGATTTATCCTGATATTTTCTTCCAGTTTATCATTTTGCAATCCGTGCAAATCCTCTACATCCCTGATCATTCCATCGTTCCGTTTGAATTCTCCTCTGATTCGGTGGGTTTTTTTTTTTTATCTCCTCAGACTAGGACATGGTGGCAACCTAACGTTAAAAGCAACTTTGCACGAAAAAGAAAATCGATCCAAAAATAACAAAATGTAATCGTAGCTAAGTTACAAGAAAGAAAAACTTCATTTTTGCTGACCGTCAACAATATGTT